TTGCCTTTTTCTGTGCAAGGAAGTACTTTTGACTGTATGCCCTCCACCCCAGCCGAGTCAGGTGGAGCACACACCAGACTTGACAACTAGAGATGGAAAAAGCAGGTGAAACTTGATTAGTACAAGAGGGGGAGGTATATGCGTGGTGCCAAGCGTTGCCATCTCATTGCTTCCTCTGCTTGGCAGGCTGTTTATTTCCTCCTGTCTGGGACATAGCTCTAAGTTGGTATCAGCTTCATCAGCTTAAACATCCAAAGTGACCCATCTTCCTTTTTGTGTCTTTTTTATATAAAAATCTTGCTTACTGTTACCCAAGGGAGGTTAATCTTCTAAAGAGTTCATGTGGGAAGACTGTCAAGTTTCCAGAAGTATTAATGGGTGTTTGGCACTTCTTAGAGTCATGAACTGTCCTGCTTCCTGGCTGCCAGACAGCCTTTCCTCCTGACCAGATCCCTAGTGCCCGCATCTTTGCATTTACAATCTAGGCAATTATTCTTAAATTCCTGCATGCTTGCAGAAGCAAGGAGTGTTCAGAGAGTGCCTGGAAGACAGATTGCCTCTTTCTGACCCCTAGCCATAACCTGAGAGACCACAGTGCTGAGTGGCACAGGTTGCTAGTGTGGAAGCTGGCCTGGCCTGCAGATGTCCCTTCAAAGGGATACGTCTCCTGTGCATCTTGTATCATATTTTTGTGGCATTTTCTAAGTTGTTAAACAGCCTACACTCAGCACGTGAGTTGATCCCACACTACACGTTTTCTGCTTTACTTTTCTAAGCTTCTGCTTAGATTGTTATTTTCTACCATGTATAATGTTATTTCAAACTGCTTACTCTAATAAGACCTGCATAAGACCAAGAGATATGTCTGGGTTTTGTTGCTTGTATTAAGCTACGGTTTCTTGCAAACGAAACTGTTTGCAACAGGGTCACACTTCAGTATGAACATCCAGTAGTAAGAGAGTAAAAACCAAAGTATTTATGATTGAATTTTGCTATATTCTGTGGTACTTGAGGCGTGTAGGTTATTTGGGCCCCTCAGTTCAAGAAGGACAGAGACCTGCTTGAAAGAGTCCAGCACAGATCCACAAAGGTGATGAAGGGAGTGGAACATCTCCCTTACGAGGAAAGGCTGAGGGAGCTGGGTCTCTTTAGCTTGGAGAAGACTGAGGTGTGACCTCATCAATGTTTACAAATATATTAAGGGCCAAGTGTCAGGAGGACAGAGCCAGGCTTTTTTCAGTGATGTCTAGTGACAGAACAAGAGGCAATGGGTGCAAATTGGAACACAGGAGGTTCCACATAAACATCAGAAAAAAATTCTTTACTGTGAGAGTGACAGAGCACTGGAACAGGCTGCCCAGAGAGGCTGTGGAGTCTTCTTTGCTGGAGACATTGAAGACACTCCTGCACAAGTTCCTGTGTGATGTGCTCTACGTGACCCTGCTCTGTCAGGGGGGTTGGACTAGGTGATCTTTTGAGGTCCCTTCCAACCCCTAAGATTCTGTGAAGATTCTGTTACTGCCACAGTTCATTGCCAGTCCATTCTGGGCATGTATGGCAAATGTAATGCAAAGCTTCCAGTTTCCCCTGTATTTATATCCCACTTGAATCTTTTACTGATAGTACCCTTCTTAGGGACTGAAGCAGTTACTGCTACTGTCCACTTGACTGGTTTAATTTCACAGTGCAGAGGGAAACCTTGAGCAAGGCTTCAATACATTGAAAACAAAAAACAAAAGAATAAACAAATTGACATCCAGGATCCTGGCTGCAAAACAGACATGCTGCAGACTCTAAACCTATTTTTGTGTCAGTAACATGGACAGGGATACAATGTCTTATACTAAACATGGTTTTCTTGTGGTTAAACCGTACTTGGGCCCTCAGGTCCTTGGGGTGGAAGATGCAGAAGTGCAGGAGGGCTGTGGTGGGACTTCGCTTCTCTTCATCATGTCTTATTTCTGTAATGTTTTGCCAGTGTATTTTTGTGTTTTATTAAGTGGGATTCGCAGCACCTTTCGTTTTCCAGGATGTACCAGTTTTGGGAGATTGGCACTTTTCTTCTCTATAAATTTGATATTTCATGTTGCTTCTGCTCCTTTTAGACAGAGGCTGCTTTCCTTCAGTGTAGCTGGTGCTTACTCATTCTTTGCCTTCATTTTTTTTTGTCCCTCTGTCTGGGCTTCCTCAACCCTTATAAAAACTGTAAGCAAATGTGTTTGCTTACAATGTCAATTAGCAGTGCTAATACTTCCACATTGGGAGATGTCTTGAAGAAAGAGAGGGCAATTATTAATTCATGCAGACTCTTTGTCTAACCTCTGTGTTATCTGGTGCCTCTGTCTCAATTAAACACTAACCAATTTGCCAGGAGACTCCCATTGCTATCTCACAGTGCAGTGCTAATAGAGCAAGCAGGGAAGAGTTGAGGCAGGAGAAAACACGTGCCTCACCTTTGAGGTGCATAATCAAGCCACAGTATCTGCTGACTTGCTTCAGCAACAGCAGTTGTGCTTAGGGTGTAGTACTTGGTTGCCTCTTAAAAGCCAGTTTTAAAGAGCTTCTAGAACTTCTACAAGGGGATCTTCAAACAGTTCAGAAACTGAGTGAAACAGTATGTCAGTATTTGAAGGAGAGTTTGTTTTTTTCCCTCTTGGAGTGCTCCACTGCTAGGAGAGAATTCCTAACCCCCTGCCAGTAGCAAGAGATAGCAGGATGCAACACAACAGCCAGCCTTGCCCTGGTTTATATACAGACTTGTGGCCTACACAACATACCATTTAAATAAAACCTGTTGTAATCAGAAATCCTGAGGCATACAGAACCCAGTCACTTTCTCAAGGAGCTGAAAGCAAACAAGGTTAGTATTGAAAATTAATGTGTTGTGTTCTGTAGTGGCTTTGCATTGATGTTAGGAATAACAAATACAGCATCTTTAATGTTTAGTTACATGACCTTTACTATTTTCCTTTGCTTGAATAGCTGTGTTAGAATTGCCAGTTTTGGAGGCCTGAATTACAAAGCAGCTGTGATGGGTAATTGACCATTCAACTTTGAAAATGGAGCTCCCTACCATTATAATTAATTTCTATAGGCATCCACATGGCTGATTGCTAGATTAATCAGTGGCCTGAGGGTGCTAACGTGTTACATTCAACCTCAGCTTCCTCCCTGGTCTTTAATGCAAACATTAGATAGCTAGTAAAAGGATTAATACAAAGCTGCAAAAGCATAATTGGAAATAATAATTTTTTTAAAGCACGATTATGGTGTATTCTGCTTGTAAAATCTGAGGCATCAAATGTAGCAGTGTTGATTTGGAATTTCTTTTTCTCCTTGAGTGTAAAATGGAGAAAAAAACCCACCTGCATTCAGCCTAGACTATAAGGGTGATTATCTCTCACTACCGAGGTATTAGCTGTGATTAGAGCTTAACTTTTCCACATTGGACCAGTTGCAATAAAGGACTCAAGCATCACATCATAGAGCTATTTAACATGCAAATCATAAGTACCAGGCCTTGGGAACAGAATGTAAAATCCTGATTTAAATAGTTGGATCTAAATGCAGGACAGGGAACAACAGAATTGTATTCAAGGTAGGCACTTGCTTTGCAGGCACTGGCTGCCTTCAACAGGGAAAGTGGAAGCCACAGATCCACCCATAGGAGCCTGTAGGATAAAACCTTGGGCATCCATCTAAAAGGTATCCTGACTGCCCTTTAGCCAAAAAGAGAACTTCCCTGGGTGACCTTTTTCATGGGAGGCCCTAACCACCACTATACCATGAAGCTTGAATGTGTCTGCCACACCAAGAAAGAGATCTGTGGGGACTGTTTTCCAAGTCAGCAGCTGAGCAGTACATTTGTATTTTGAAGCAGCTCTGTGCAAGGGCAGAAGGGCAAGTCTAAGCATATATGATACTTTAAGCACTAGTTGTTGCTAGAGTTGGAACCCAATTGTCAAATTTGGGTTTAAATACCTGAATAATAATAATTGTTTTTAAAACATGGGTGTTTTCCATTATGGGATTGTTAATGTGTCAGAAGCTGTGAAAGCATCCTAAAAATAACACTTACAAACTCAAATATGGGCAGGGTGGGAAATACTTGTCCTGTGCAATATAGACTGTGTACAATGATCTCTTTTGAATGTAGTATTTTGAAAATACTTTTTGGTCACCTGGCACAGAATGGAAAGTTAGGATGCCACCTCTTTCCAAAATGTCTGTTATTGTCACCTCTGCTGATTTAAAAACTAAGTTCTTAATATTTGATGCAGCTCTTAAAGTGGCACCATCTTCAGTCACCTGATTGTGAGAGAAATTAGTCATTCTAATAGTGATCCTTTCTGGTTGTACAGCAGAGCTTGAAACTACAACTGGAGTGTGTTTGTTGTTCTTATAAGCTTGTTTTGGATGATTGAGTAGTTGGATTCAACTGTGCACAAATACTTGTGATACTTGATCAAGTCTTTTCTAAATATGTATTTGCAAAAGGGCTGCATTAGCACCATATAAATCTCACACTGCTTATCTTTCTTCGATGCTCAAACTTACATGCTAAATATGGCTGCCTTATGTAGATTTGATATGCAACATATTTTTAAAAAATTAGAAAGGTAAAAAGAAAGTATTTACATTACATGCATTGTTAATAATTCTCTTATCCATCTTGATCAGTGTTTTAACCACAACGTTTCAATATTGCTCCACATATTAAAATCACTTGAGTTGGAGATGGATACACAACTAGCTAGTGAGAGAAGGTCTGAACCCAATGAAGAAGACCTGTAGGGACTGGCAGAGATCAAAGATTTGTTCTTGTGAGGTCCCTCATGTGGTTCTCCTGTTGCATATGATGGCCAAGGAGCAAGGTCAGCGGGGCTATGTTTTAAATAGATGGTTGGGAAGAGTTAGGACGACCTCATTCCTGCACCTTCCACACAGAGCACAGGGCTGTCTGGAGGGTGCACAGCTCTCAGAGTGGGGTGAGCAATGTTCTTTCAGAGATAGTGCTCCTGAGCAGCCTGGGAAAGGGAAGAACAGTGGTGATGGCTTGAGAATTCAGCTAAGTGTGATTGCAGTTTCCTGAGACAAAACAAGAGTACTTCTTGACCCTGAAGACTATTTTTTTGTCCTACTGAATTTCAAAGGCCTACTGCAGTAAGTGGAAGTGCTGATGCTTGTGACCTTTTACTAAAAAGCATCTTTCCTAACAGGGAGCGATAAGCAGCCTAAATATAGTGGTTACTACCAGATTCTCCTGTAATTTGCAAGCCTTCTGTTACTCGCTTGTTCTGCTTGTTTTCTTTTTATCTCCCTTATTCTTAGGTTCATCATTATTCTAGTTTTATTTATTTTTCTATAAGATGGTACATGAAGACTTCCCAGACTTCAGCACCAGGATGAGCTTCTAATTCTAACAAAAGTGTTGTATTTTGTATGTTCTTTCTAGGCTTTTTTGAATTAAAATGAAAGTCAATTTCTAAACCAAGAGCTACAAATAGTTACTCATTTATAACTTGGTAGTAGTATTGAATGATGAACTTAAGTATGCCTCTCATAAATCTAAGACAAGGTTTTCATTTACTCACAAACACATTTGGGTGACCTCTGAAGTACAATTTAGAAGACTGCACAGCATGTAAGCCATCTTGTTTATTTGTTTACTGGGAATGACATTTTAATCACAGGAAGAACAGGCTGGTAAGAGTGATATTTTCCAATCTTTAGAAACAAAATTGCTCCTACCCTAGTTATAGATCTTTATGTAAAGGCACTTTCATCATCATTCAGTGACACTAGAAAAAGGCCTTGTCTGAAATCCATAAAATCTTGCTAAAATTTGGCTTCTGATACAGAATATTAGAGAATGGGACATGTCACTTTAGAACATAATAAATGTATTAACTTCGTGTCTCTGAAGAAAAGAGATGAGCATGAAAAGCATGAGTCATTTCAGTAATGGGAAAGAAAGTGAATCTGAAGAAATCTTCATGCTTGCAAATACGAAATGGAACCAAGGGTTTGATTCCCAAAAATAAAAAAGTCATAATATAAGAGAGTTATATTCCTTAAACAGAATCAAACTTGGTATGAAAATGTATTGCTTTCATTTCTCCAATCTTAAAACTACATTATTCAAAACAGTAATTTAAAATTAGGCATTATGAATTTAAATATGATTGCTTTGACAAACCTAGGGTGTGAAGAAATGATTTCCCAAAGCAGAGTGGAAAAAATACTTTTGTATCAGGGAGTGCTGATTAGCCTTATCGCAATGCAGACGGTGAGTAATTGAGAACAGGGTAATTTAATTTGGTTAAAACAGTATTGAATAGCTAATTTTGTTTAAAATAATTATTTTCACAGAAAGAAATCTTGAAATCAGATCTCATTGTCTGCACAGCGGCTGCAGTTCTGTCGTTTGCTGTCAGTGCCAGTACCGTGTTTCTATCATTACGGGTGGGTATCTGTCCTTTTCTTTTTTCTTTTTCTTTTTTCCCCCTCGGCTGTTATCTCTTTTATGCACCACAGGGTGCTTTCACTGGGAAGAATAGAAATGGTGGGAAGAGAAGTTAGTGAAAATGTATTTACTGGTTATAACATTTTTTTAATGTGGAAGGCAGTTAGTTAATGGATATTTGTATTAATTTCATGGTACTTATTTGACCCCTTTTTCCTTTAAAGAGCTGTGGATATGCACAAGTTTTATATGGAAACCAGGGGACAGAATGAATAACCCTGATCAATTGCCTTTTTCCTCCAATTAGGGAGGAAAAAAATTGGTTAATTTTATTTGCAAAATTCATTTTTGAAAATCCATAATCACCTGTGGAGTTGGGCAGCTTCAACATAGGAGCAACAATTTATTGCACAAGAATACAATTCTAGGAACTTTTACAAAATGTTAAAAGTAAGTTATATAAACAAATGTTGTTTTCAAATTATAACCATGTTTTGTCTTTTCTCTCTCAACCCAGCCATTTCTCAGCATTGTCCTGTTTGCTTTAGCCTGGACTGTGGGATTTGTAACACATTACATACTTCCTCAGCTTCGCAAGCATCATCCCTGGCTGTGGATCTCCCACCCTATACTTAAAAGCAAAGAGCACCAGCAACGGGAAGTGAGAGGTTTGTAATAAAATATTTTCTAAATATTTAAAGCAATTACTTCCAGCTTGTGTTTAAAACAAAACAAAACACCAAAACAAAACACAGAAAAACCAAACCCACAAGGCACAGAGCAGGGATACTAAATTATGCTTTACATTTCCCTCTTTTGAATGGCAGATCTAGCCCATAATTTCCATTTCCCCCCACCCCGTCAGCAGCAAGTCTATGAACCTGTAGAGGTTGTCTCCTGAAATCACTTCATGGAAGAGCTAAGGCTAGGCAAGCACCTCTGGAGATTGTGCAGTCCAACACTCCTGCTCAGAGCAGGGTCAGCTAGAACAGGTTGCTCATGGCTGTGTCCAGTTTTGACTGTCTTCAAGCATGGAGACTCCACAACCTTTATGGACAACCTGTTCTGGCATTTGAAAATCCTTACAGTAAGAAAAGTTATTTTGGTGTTTGTTTTGGTTTGTTTTTTTCTTATGTTGAAATGGAATTTCAGTTTGTGTTCATTTCCTTTTGTCCTGTCACTGGGCACTACTGAGAACTGTCTGGATCCATCAAATTTACCATGCACATCAGGTATTTATACCCCAAAAGTGCCCCCAGTCAGGCATTAATAAGGTGTCTCCTGAGCCTTTTCTACTCCAGACTGATCAATCCCAGCTCTCTCAGCCTCTCCTTCTATGTCAAATGCTCCTGTCCCTTAGTCACCTTACTGACCCTAAGCGGCCTTTCATGAGCCATCATCTGATCTGCCTTTTGCTTTTATGTTACTTGCTGTATTGCTTGATATGTCACAGTTCATGCTTTATACATTGGCATTTTATATAATTCAAAAACCTAAATGATTGATGAAGCTAAGGCAGACTCTTTTCAACTTTCTGACATATAGCTATGTATTATTTGAACAGCATGGGTAGTGCAATGTAAAATTCTAATTTCCATCTTAACATTTTTAGAGAAACATTAAAATTGAAAGGAGCTGTGAAGTTTTCTTGAATCTTGGTTCTTGCTAATGTCTGCTGGCTTCAGCGGGTCCTGTGCCCTGATAAATGCGAGTACCAGTAAATATTTTACTATGTCAAGATCTGGTTTCTGATATAGTTATTTCTGCAAGCAGCCAGTGTACTTTAAGGAGCACTGCTTTTTCTTTTTTTCCCCCTCAGCTCTCCTCTTGCTTTTGCTACCAGCCAGAAGCTTGCTCGTCATTTCTTGATGGATCCTGTGCCTTAATCATTCTCAATATATGTTCCTGAGGTGTTTGAAGACAGGGTTGTCAGAACACAGTCTGCCAAGGGACATTAGTCTGTTCTTCAACTAGACAACAAACGAGTTCAGATCATGCTCTGCAAAACTGTGCGTTAAGGATTTAAATCTTTAGTAAAAAAAATAAATAAAGAAAAATTATGTATTTCAAAATGATTACTTTCCAAACAAGGTTTGGGTATGAAAAAAGTACTCGAGACCTGATTGAAGGTTGCCTTATAACTTTAACTGCAATACACTAAGAAAAGTATAGTAGAAATATAAATCTTACTAAGGATCATGCCCAACTGGGGAAATGGTTCAGGGCTTCCACTTCCACAAAGTCACTAGTTCTGATGAATACTCAAGGTTTTGTTTGCTACATCACTCTGTCATAAAAGAGTACTGTAGAATTTATTTTCCTTGTCCTGATTAAGTCTGTCTTCATTTGTCAGAAAACATAGTTTTTGTAACTGCAATGATTCAGCTTTTGAAAAGGTCGAGGGCAGAGATCTGCCAGACTGACCTCTACAGTTGGGTTGCCTTCTGCTTTGAGCTGGATTTCCCATGCTACCTATTGCAGGCAACAGGCTTTTTTCCTCCTTTTGCAGTCCTCAGTTTATACGTGGTGCATTTCCACACTTTGGGGCTTAAGTATTATTGCAATGTATCTGATGTTGTTTGTTAGGGAAAAAAAAAAAAGAGTAAAATTTATATATATATATTTCAGTCCCTTAGGCTGCTGCAGATGTTTTTTATCATGTTCTGAGATGAGACAGACTGAGGAAAAGGTGGTGTAATCTCTTTGATAGATATGCCTGACAGACTGTCTTCTTTCTTTTACCCTGTAAGAAAAATGTAGGAGCTGAACTTAAAGTTTCCTTGTTTGTACAGAAAGAAAAGCTTGGAAAGGACAGTATCCTGTAGTTGTCAAGCACAGATAATGAAAGGACAAGTACAGAAAACAAGATGTCTGTGAGGAGCTTTTACTGCATAGAATTTAATTTTCAGCTTCCTAATTTTTGACAAGTGTAGTGCTGTGGGGAGGTGAATAATTGCTTGCAATTAGACAAGCAGCTGGTAATGAAAATTCCACAAGTTAATTCCTGGTTTTGTTTTATAGACTCTGGATGGGCTGTTCAAACTTTCAGGCCTTCCACAAGATCACAGTTATCAGAGAAGTTCTCATGATGCCAATATGATAACACATTTATTATTTGTCATTGTTTTACCTGACTGCAGGAAGAAAGGCTGAGGTGAAGATGTATGAGCTTATAGTATAATAGATACATAGAAATTAGTGCAGGACTGAGTAAGAAAGATGTCCTGAAACACCAGAGACACTATGATGCTGTCAGTTCATGACACTGCTCTTTCTTTCTCTACACTGTTTTTATACCCCACAGATTCATGTAAGCCATTTTCAAATCATCCACATCTCTCCTTGGGACCTCCCTGAATGTGAGCTCTTTTCTTCTGTCTACATTGTCTGCACACGTCTCTTTCAGCTCCTGCAGCTGCCTTGTCTTTGGTCTACTTGATCTGCACATCTCTCTATTCAAACTTGAGTTCTTACACAGATACTTGCTTTGGGCAGCTGGATGGAGTTCTTGTGTGAAGCTCTGAGACCAATTTGTAGTTCAGGAGGAGGAGAGAGGCAAAGGGAATAACAGCTGGGTTCCAGAATGGAGATTTCATTGCTTTATGAAATTCTAGTAGGTAGCCTTTAGGTAATAAGAGGAGAAAATAATTTTATGTTATAAAAATAACCAGAAGTTGATCATATTTTCTGAAGGCAGATTTTGGCAAGAGCATTGGCCTAAGCTTAAGATACTGACAAAGCATGACTTAAATCTAATTTGGAAGGATTACTTTTAGATCTTTCTCTTTGAGCCTACACAATATACAACTGTGCCTGTAGAACATGCAAATCTGTTGATTCAGCATGTCTTCTTTGCCTGTCATTGAAAAGGTGTGTGTGGGAAGGTGGGAGGTGCATAAATAACTATTTTCATTTCTGCAGGGAAGAGTATTGGAGATTCAGTAGCTGGCATAGTTATTTCTGAGTCAATATTGAGTTCTGCCTTTTTGCCTTCACTGTTTCTTCAAGAACCTTTACTAGCTGAGCTCAGCTGAGAATAATGATGTTATTTTTGTCAGTACACAAGTGTTTATGCAGTCAGCTCACCTAAGTTCTCCTAACAGTTAAATTGCCCAAAGGATTCATCTCTTGTTTAATACTTACATTAAGCACTGTGATGTTGTTAGAAAAGTCTACTGAAAAAAAAAAATAAATATATACTTAACTGATGAGTTATGTGATCCTGGAAGATTAATTTCTACAATGGCTGTGTAAGTGTTTTAAGAAACATCTTTGACACTTTCTAGCTCCTGTTAATTCTTCTGTCTTTAGATCTCAAAGGATATTTCATTTATCAGTTAGGTCGATGATACTTTACAGTCTAAGGAACAGTGTTTTGCCACTATAAGATGGGGAACGAGTGGCAGAGATTTCAAATAAGGTTCTCTAGGTCATCCACCAGATCAGTGCTAGAGCTGGAGAGGGCATCTCCGGTGTCATTGTATCACTAAAAGTGCTGTTTAGTATGGTGACTGGTAATTGGATTGTGTAGAAATTACTGTCTAGCATGTACCATAGTTTCTGAATGTTTCTCATGATTGCAGCTATAAGGAGCAAAACAGGTACTCTCTAAATTCAAAGAGCAAAATTATTTATCCACTGAAAAATAATTATTAATTCTATCATTTAATAAATTCATTGCTTTCTTATATTTATTAATGTGAGCCAACTCATTTCTTCTACAGCATTGCAGTGCAAAAACAATGATAATTTGATGAAATGATCTGTTATCTGAATTTCTATTTCAGATGCTGCTCATTTGATGTGGTTTGAAAGGCTCTATGTGTGGCTTCAGTGCTTTGAGAAATACATTTTGTATCCAGCTATAATATTGAATGCCCTCACCATTGATGCTTTCTCAATTAGTAAATACAAGAAGCTTGGTACACAGTAAGTTGATTATAACTCAAAGCATGTGATTAGTAGAATATTGGGGTTTAGACTGAAGACTGAGAAATGATTATTTTTTTTTAGGTCTGTTTGTCACAGTTTGCTCTCATGCATTATTAGTTCAGTGTACAATAATCCATTTGCTTTGCTGAAACAAAAAGCAAAACTACCTTGGCATATGCCAAGACACAACTCCAGTGAGAGAGAGAGAAAAATTAAAAGATTAAGGAGCTATATATAGATATATATGGAATGTCTAAATGTCAGTTAAAAGCAAGACACACTATAGCAGGCTGCAGGTGTTTGACGGGTATGAACACAGCAGGGTAACTAGAATTAATCAGATGAAAATGAGAAATCTAGGCTGGATATCAGGAAACATTTCCGAACTGAGGATTTTTAAGACTCTGACGTAGTCTCCCAAAGGATTGATTGGAAGCTTCACCACAGAAGTCTTTTAAGGCAAGACTGAATAAAACATCAAATGGTGTAAATGGTGGGTAGTCCTTTGAGAAAGGTAGGTACATAAGTTTTTCCAAAGCCTGATCTCTCTGATATTAAGCAGAACTGTTGATGCTGATCCATGTTCTCACAGTATCATTCTTGCAGAGAGCCTTTTATGGTAAATATTTTGGTCAGGGACTTGCCTACTGAAGATATTCAGCTGACTTAGTGACTGCAGTATCCCCAGTGAGCACAGTTTCTGCAGTCTCTGTATCAGAATGACAGTGATGATCAGATGATAAAAACAAACAGCCCAGGTTCAGGAAGGAAGGTTCCAGTAGCAGGAAAAACTGCTAGAGGAGGGGAAATTCCTCAATATTAATAACAATTCAGATTCTTAAGTTTAAATATTAGTTAAAAGAACTTCGATGTAAAAGTTGCAAGTTAGTTATTTTCTCTTGAAGAGCAACACAGCTTTAGGGACTACAGAACTGCAAGGAAAAGGTGATTCTTGATGTTAGGGGCTGCAACTGGGATTAGGGCATTAGTCAAATTTTCTGCATATTCTTCCCAGACAACTACTTTCCAGAGAGACTCTCACAATTTAATGCCAACATGTTGCCTCCATCTTTCCTTCTTCTATAATTGTATTTACTTAACACAGAAAACTGTCTTTTTCTGAAGAGTTAAAAGAAGAACATTATCTTCTTGGAGATATAGCAGCAAGCACTTTCATTTTTGAAGAATGAACTTCTTGTTTTTCTGTGTGGTCACTTAGTATTTAGAGTTCTCAGCTTAATTTAGAGTTCTCAGCTTAATTTCACTTTGTGACATATAATAAGGGACAGCAAAATGCTGACTGCATGCATTTTACAACACATAGGTGCAACACAATTTCTTTTCATCAGATGAGGTTATTACTGTATACTGTAGACAACCTTCTAAACAATAACAGTGGTGAGAATTTCAAGCACTTAATGTCTGAGTGTTTCTACCCAGAATTTTCGCATTGTGTGTAATGAAATTAGAAGAATATATTATATTATAAAATAATATAATCTCTGTCATCAAGTGAAATTTCTAGTAATAAAAAAAAAACTGGAGTGGGTTCAAGATGTATTTTTTCAACTTACAGTTATATATTCATGAAAGTGCCAAAAAATTTCCAAAACTGAGTTTTTATTTTAAGAGCTATACAAAAATATTATTTCTATATTCTTGATTCATAGTAGTCCATGTGACTGTTTTTAGTACAGAGTTCTTTCTTTATTACAAATTGGAAGTGTGATAATGTTAAGGGAAAAATATGAAGTTGCACATGGGTAAAACAAATACAATTATTGAAAGAATACAGGATTAACATCAGAAATCAATAAAGCATAGATTTAGGTATACATAGCAATCTAAAATACATGTGGTACAGCTATTTGTATTTAAGAGCTTTATTTAATGCTTTGTGGCTTTAACTTGATTAGGTCTTTCTTTCTGCCTTTCTTACAGCTGTGATATTATCCTGATAACAGTTGCTGGGATGAAACTCCTCCGCTCCTCATTCTGTAATCCTATTAATCAATTTGTTACTTTGAGCTTTACTGTAATTTTCTTCCGATTTGACTACAGAGACATTTCAGAAAATTTCTTGCTGGATTTCTTCATGATGTCCATCGTGTTTCATAAGGCAAGTTTTATAGCTCCTGTCACTTATTTAGAAAATATATTTCACAGTGTTATTTATCTTCTCAATGTCACTGTGCTGATCAATATGTGGTAGTATTTTTTTGAAGTAGTGAATGCATATATAGACACAGATTATTGGTGCTATAGAGGAAGAAGTCTGTAAGCTGAAAACAAGGTTCTGCTTAAATGTCTTCTCTGGTTTTGTGTGATGTTTTGCATTTCCTTCTTGTTCACATGTTGCTACAGAAACTTCAGAATTGTTTTCAAGAGGAGAGTCCTCAGTGAGTTGGAAAGAGCCTCTTGGGTCATTAGTGCAGGACTGCCCTCCAGATCAATCGCCTGGTGTTTTTATCTAGGTTTCCTTTGAATGCCTCTAGTGTTTGACTCAACAACTTCCTCTGGGAAATTATTCCATTATCTAATCATCCTTGTGATAATAAATGTTTTCCTAATGTCAGGCTTAACATTTTTCTTTTCCTATTTTCAGTCTCTTATCCTTGTGATGCTGCCCTTAACCTTAACCTCAGAGCTCCTTCCTCTCTTCTACATTGTTAACTCTTGGAGTGTGCTCTAGTTGAATTTACTTTAAAAAAGCAACCCTTTCTCTATCAGTCAGATCCTGGATTGATTTGCTATCTAAGCTGTTTCACAGAAAGAAACAGGTTTAACTGATACCGTGTTAAAACATGAGAAAGTATTGAAGACTTGTCTAAAGCTTTTACCAGTATATTTTTTTATTTTGTTTTATTTTTAAACTTGTTGGTTCCTTATCACCAAAACATATGATACAGTTTGTCCAGGGGTAAATCTGGTGAGGTGTTTGTTTATGTTGTTGGGGGTTTTTTTGCCAGGCTTGTTTCTTTTTCTAAAACATATATATGACCCAGCTAGCATCACTTAGTTTCTGAGAGGAGAAAGACATGGCAGTTTCAGGCTTTCTAAGGAGAGGCCCAGTTCACTGGTGTTACATTGGGAGATCCCAGTCATTCAGGCAAAGAGTGAAGTAGAAGTGAAATGCTTTTCCTTGTTTATTTCTGTGCTGCTGTAAGGGAGGAGGGGAAGGTGGAATTGCAACAAGTCAATGAGGGACCTTGAGCTATTTCTTTTCTCAGAACTCTTGGACCACACTCCAGCAGTGCTTCACCTGCTTCAAGCCTTCAACCATCAGACTTGTTCTGCTTTCTCTCTGCTGGGGTGAGGAGGCAAGGGTTGGGGATGGAGGGCAGGAGAGAAGGAGCAGAAGAGATAGAAAGCCCTGCTCTAAAAAGAACCCCACCACATGCTTTGTGATCCTAAAATAGGGTTAGAGTAATTTTTTAAGCTTTCTTACCTTGGAGTGAAAGATGAGCAGTGAGTGATGCAGAGATTGGTAGCATTGTGGCAGTTTCAGTATTTGTTGCATTAGTGTGTTTCCTAGAGCAAGGGGTGTTTTTCTACCTCCAGAGAAGATTGTCAGTGATGTGCAGCAGTAGACATCCAATGTTTGAATAATCACTTATTTAGTCCTAAAACTCATTCTCAAAAAAAACCTCTTTACAGGATCAGAGCATTAGCACCCCAGAACTAAAAGTCTGACTATTTATTCATTTTGAAAATGTTGACCTTGTGAGAATATTACAGAGTACTAGTGTGGATTATTGCATATTTTTGGAAGAATGAGATATAAAGGTTTTTCTGTGTTTTTTGGGGGGCATTCTTTGGGTAGTTTTAAGCCAACGTTTACACTTGAAACACCAGTGGTTGCCATATGAAAGAGATAATACCAAATTAACCAGAGATGTTTGCTAGAATAACTACTACTGTACTAGGCTGGAAGCTTATACTACAGATGTGTTTTGAAAGTGTTGGTTTAGCATTGATCTGTCATCTTCTTCATATCGGACAATATCTGAAAGTTTGCAGGTCATTAGTTCAAGTGGAGTTGTCCTTGTTCCATTTAAGAAAACTGAAATTAAATTCTTGAATTACTTATATTACACAAAAACATGCTTAGTTATACAATGCTTAGTAAAGCCACAATGCTTAGTAAAGCCAATCTGAAAAATAGCATTGCAGATGATAGAAATTAGAAGTGCTATTAGTTTCAGATCGTAAAGGGCATGTTTTCTCTACTGTAATTAAAGTCTGAGCTTTTATTAGCTCAATATTGTGGAACTTCAGTGAAGGATATGGTCACTTGAGGATGAAGATAATGTGTGTTTATTCCATACTATAGGCCCTAAGCAAGATGCATCTACCTCTCTTTCCAAAAGCTTTATGAGGCTTTACAGATTCTGTCCCTCTGTAGTTCAGCTATTTTTATGTTTGCAACTGTTTTTTAAAAAGAAGAAAAACACTGAATTAGTTTCTATTGCCATCACCTTTGGCTATTCAGAACTTACTACACAGGCATGGCAAATTTCTGCTTACTCATTGAAAGTGTCATCTTACCGCCATCTGAATTGGGGAACACTGGAAGTGCTCTGCCTTAGTCATAGTGATGGTAATTTTTAAGTAGGATTACTCCACAAAATAAATATTTGTATGCTCTCAAAGGTGGTAGTAAGCATTTATTTTCTTCTGCCAGGCACTAGGGAAGAAGGCATTTAAATTCAACAGACATTTACAACTGCACTAGTGACTCTTGAAGAAGATTCTGTTGAATAAAACTTTGTTAATAATGTTGGGTAGAATATCTGTGAATATCTCACTGTTTGTGCATCCCTCATTTTCCCCATTTTGCTGTTGATTTAATGTAATTTAGTCAAATCAGAAGCTCCAAATGAGAATATTGCTTCCTGAGCAAGTTGAGGCATGGAAATCCAAATTACTGCTCACAGATTTTTATCTCTGTTTGCAAATAGCCATGCCACCCAAACTGGGGTAACACAGGGAACAAGAGAGTCTAATCAGTTCTGTTCCTGAGGATATTTTTTTAATCAGCCTGGATTTTTTTTTCTTTTTAACGTCATAGGACTTTTTAATGTGACATGGTTCCTTCACTTTTTTAAAAATCCTGAGCAGTTTACATTTAGACAAGTTGCAGAATGTGATAACTTTATGCTAAAAGTTGATTATGCCTCTACAGAGTGTGCTGTTTTGACTTTCACATTGCCTTGGGAAGGCAGCAAGAGAAACATTTAGAAAATACTTTCTTATTTTTAAGAATGATTGCTGCTTTCAATTGAAGTGGAACAGAATTTCTCCATCTTTCTTATGCTAAGACTTCCCATGTAGCCATCCCAGATGGTCTCCTTGGTTTTGGCCTGTGATTCTTCTTTTCAAAACTCCCATTGTCTGTATTTTTAAACCAGAGCTGAATTGCCTGTGAATATTATGTGATTGCTCATTCAAAAGTTGTGGGTGTAATGCTTTACAGGAAATCAAACTGGGGAGAAACCTGATGAAATTCAACAAGGGGAAGTGTAGAGTTTTGCATTTGGGGAAGAACAACACGATGTCCCAGTATAGGTTGGGGGCTGACCTGCTGGAGAGTAGTGTAGGTGAAAGAGACCTGGGGGTCTTGGTAGACAGGAGGATGACCATGAGCCAGCAATGTGCCCTTGTGGCCAAGAAGGCCAATGGCATCCTGGGGTGCATTAGAAAGGGTGTGGTTAGTAGGTCAAGAGAGGTTCTCTTTCCCCTCTATTCTGCATTGGTGAGGCTGCATCTGGAGTATTGTGTCCAGTTCTGGGCCCCTCAGTTCAAGAAGGACAGGGAACTGCTTGAAAGAGTCCAGCGCAGAGCTACAAAGATGATTAAGGGAGTGGAACATCTCCCTTATGAGGAAAGGCTGAGGGAGCTGGGTCTCTTTAGCTTGGAGAAAAGGAGACTGAGGGATGACCTCATCAATGTTTACAAATATGTAAAGGGTGAGTGTCAGGGAGATGGAGTTAGGCTTTTCTCAGTGATGACCAGTGATAGGACAAGGGGTAATGGGTGTAAATTGGAGCATAGGAGGTTCAAGGTGAATATCTGAAAAAATGTTTTTACTGTAAGAGTGACAGAGCACTGGAACAGGCTGCCCAGGGAGGTTGTGGAGTCTCCTTCACTGGAGACATTCAAAACCCACCTGGATGCATTCCTATGTGATGTGCTCTGGGTGACCCTGCTCTGGCAGGGGGGTTGGACTAGATGATCTTTTGAGGTCCCTTCCAACCCCTAGGATTCTATGATTCTATGATTCTATGAAAATCAAGGTAGTCTTGGTCTCCATGATTCCATGTAAACTTTGAATGAGATAGTTGTTCTCTGGACTTTTTAGGAGATGGTGCCAGTGCAAAGGTTAATAAGATTGTTCATATTCATTGAAAATGGAAACTTTCAAATAGCTGAGAGTATGTTCTTCACAGGCAGAGCAAAGAATATATAACAGGACTTAGGAGATTTCCTAGATTTCTAACAGTACTAAAAAATGGAAGACTTTTTCTGTAATAGGATAAAAAATATGGGAATATCAACCATTTGGGAAGCATGGAAAGAGTACACTATTTGGGCAAGATGAAAAGATGGACCTTTCTTCCACCCTTCTGATATCTACTGACATAATACTTAACTAAGGAAAAAGTAACATACGCAACATGTAGGTGAGAGGGAGGGCATTTGTTTGGTTAAATATATGTCATAGTTCATCTAGTCCATCTTTCTTCAGTGCTATTTTAATTAAAAAATTTTAAAAAGGAAGGTTCCCAGTACTGCCCTTCTTGGCAGTTGTGTGAGCTGCTTTTATAGGATGTCTGAAGTGACAACTGTTCAAGTCAAAAATGAGTAGGTTTTGTTAAGTGTGAAGTAGAAACCAGTGCAAATATTGAAACAGTTGAAGATACCAGTTGGGAACTGGCTGAATGTTAAGAGCTACTCAGGGCAAGGCTCGTCCCCAGCTGTTTTTCTGGGTTCTCTTAAAGATGTGAATTCACATCCAGTCCATGCACGTCCTCTAAATCTTCCTGGTGGAGAGAGGTCATAACATCTTTCTGAACCACTTTTGAAACCTCAAGCAGTGCTGATGTTGAACTTTATCAG